CATCCCTTAAGCCGCCGAACTTCTCCTGACCGGCGGTGTCCCACACGTTGAACCGAATCGGACCGCGATTTGTGTAAAACACGAGTGGATGTACTTCTACTCCGAGTGTGGCTGAAGTGGCGGACAATTGGGACACAAATGAGACAATTAATGGTTGCAATTATATGGTGTATGAAATGTGTGGACACAATACATACCGATATATTTCTTCTCGAACTCTCCGGTCAGATGCCTCTTCACGAACGTAGTCTTACCGGTGCCGCCGTCGCCAACCAATACACACTGTCATCGGTGGCCAAGACATACATCGGGTGGTAATCATTAATTAATTGGTCATTGAATTGATGTCCAATGATAGACATAAAGAGACATACCTTGAAAGTAGGCATACCTTCGCCTGCAGTTCCCGTCGATTGCATTATAACGTGGTGTTAGTGTCGGTAATGGGGTATAAAAGTGGCAAATGAGTGGACAATTGTCTCAAATTAATAAATAAATCGCCAACTTTTCTAATGTATAGACTTTGAAATTCAAAGTTTGAATGCAATGAATGAACGTTTTTGTATCGTTAGACTCGTTATAATGATTATTACATTTGATGTCACCTTTTATATGAAAGTGTTTCGTATTTATAACGGAATGCTTGCGTTTTGTTATCTGTTAACATGTTATCTGCTATTATGTAATATTGTGTTATATAATGTTTATAAGTTGATTTCATGCGTTGAAATAGATTTTCAATGTATAAGTTTAATGTAATAAATGTGTTTTAACATTGGTTGGCAATATTTTAATGATTAACAATTAAACGAGAGTAAATCTCTGCTGTATGTAATATTACAGTACATTAAATTGTAAAAGTGCTCATCTCTCAAATACAGATAAAAAATTAAAACATTATTTGGTTTACAATTTACAAGTCTCTCTCTCTCTCTCTCTCTCTCACTCGAAGATCGGTTTCGATGCGAATGTGTGTCCAAACAGTTCCACAGGACAATCTTCGGGAGTG